ATGGATGCTTCTCTCTCATCGATGTTTCTAACTCTCTATCCCTCTCCCTTCCTCTCTGTAAAAAATCAATAAAATATATTAAAAAAAATTTTGGCAGAATGACCCATCAGGTGTGAAATCTATCACCACCACTGTTCTTTCTAGGCTGTACCTTGCACACACCTCTCCTGGTGAACTGAAACTAATGTAGCATTACCACAGGGTGTGCCCTCCTGTGTCCTTCAGAGAGTAGCGTCTGGTTTTATCAGACCCATAAACAATAGACACTCAACACCTATTCGAGGAATGAGTTAATCTCTCCTTTAATAAAATACTGAAATAATACAGCTTACATTTATTAAACATGTATCATGTGCCACAAGCCAAGATAAATTAGGTTATTTCATCCTCCTAAGTCCATAAGCTGGGTAAGCATTATTTCACCTTACAGATGAGGAATCTAAGGTCCATTCAAATACACCAGATAACTTGCCCAAGGAGACACAGTCTGTAAACGGAATATGTAGGACTGGAGCTCAGGTCTGACCAATTCCAGCGTCCATGCTTGTAACCTCTATGTATACTTCTTTGTCACATGTTATTGACACAGTCTATAACGGACCTCCCACAAAGTGTTGCTTGACTGTTTCTGACCAATACTTCACAGAATCAGTGATCTAGCTAGGTTTCTATTCTGGGTTTATACTTTCTGAAGCTGAGGGAATAGAGTTATATCGGATTAAGAATGCTATGGACAGCCCTGACCAGTGTGGCTCAGTGGTAGAGTATTGGCCCATGTACCAAAGGGTCGCAGGTTGGATTACTAGTCAAGGGCACATACCTGGCTTGCAGGTTCATTCCCTGGCCTGCGTGGGGCACAGGTGGGAGGCAATCGATGTATCTCTCTCACAGTTTGGTATCCAACCTAATCTTTCCATCCTACCCAGGGGTAAAGGTAGAGAGAGGAAGGGGGAGAGAGAAATAGAGAGAGAGAGATAAAGAGAGAGAGAGGGAGGGGGGAGGGGGGGATATGGATGCAAGAGCAAAACACTTATTGGCTACCTTCTATACACACACACACACACACACACACACACACACACACACACACACTGGGGATCAAGCCCAAAAACCTGGGCATGTGCCCTGACCTGGAATCCAACTGGCAACCTTACTACACAGGACAATGCCCAACCAACAGCCACACTGGCCAGGGCGATAAATTCTTTTTATTTGTCAGTTTCGAACCTAATACCCAAACTTCTGATGGCAGACCATGAAGAAAAAGAAAGTTCAAACTAATCTTGTAAGCCTCTCCTCTGTTCCTAGCCACCTTATTTTTAGGACATTCCTTGGCAGTTCTAGTATCAAATGATTGCTATACTGAGCATATGTGCGCTTCACAAACTGGCAGGTGTCTGCTTCCAATCCTAAATCCTACTCTAGCTCCGTCTGCTGCCCACCCAGATGCTTCCATTTAAACTGAGAAGTCCACGAAGGGGACAGAAGCTAATGGCTCATCTTACACCAGATCTACTGTTAGCTGTCTCAAAACAAAACCCCAAAACCTCTAAATTAGAATCATTTAAATCTTCCTGGACAGAATCTGATTATCAATGACTTCTATTCTGTTGTAAGTAATGGTACAGAAAATTACACTGGTCTTTTACTCAGAATAAATTAGTTCTGTATTTTTAATAGAAGCCAAATGGTGAAACTAGTAGGAGACAGCAGGGACAGGCTATTCTGGTAAGATGTTGCATTTACAATCGTGGTATAATGACTGACTGGTTTGAGCATATGGTACCAACGATAACAAGGCAAAAGGTTCAAATCAAAGTACAATGGGATTATGGGGGATAGAAATAATGAGGTTAAAAAAAAAAGCACCATCAGTACAATTGGTCTTTAAATATAAAATAGAAGACAGTAACTGGAAATAATTCATACCAGTGGGTACCCAGGAGTTGCTCAGAAGCACCAAAAAGATGAAGAGAACCACTACAGCAACGGATCTCACTCAGCATGCGGCAGCCCAAACCAAAGTCCTCCCAAGTCTCCACACTACGCAACCCGCCACATCCGTCTATGGAAATACAACTTTCAGTTATTTCTCCTTTTCCCTTCCTTTCATATTTACATCTAATCAAGCCTTATTTTTCCTTTAAAACATCTCTAAATATAATAAGGATAATAAGGATGTCCAACTAAGCATTACTTAAAATAGGGCGGGGGAAACATTCTACAATGCTCAACAGTAGTGGAATGGTTAAATTATGGGACATTCATATAATGAGATACTCTGCAGCTGTTACAAATGTTATTTATGAAGAGTTTATAATAGCATGGGTGGAGCAGACAATGAGTGGTCTTCTTAACCTCTATTCTGCCTCTGTGTAGAGCCATGAGGCTTGGGTGGGACTGACCCCCAACCAAATCTCCCAGGGCAAGTCTCTCCCCAGGCCCAGTGACCAGCTTAGTCCTAGGCTACCTGAGCCAATCAGCCCCAATCTCAGGACTTCTGCTGGCGGTGGGAAGGAAACACATGCCTTAGAACAAAGCTAACACACAGCACAGGGCACGGCTACAAAAAAGTTATGGGAGACACTGAGCTGGAGCCCTGATTAAACCATTATCTGATTTCTATCCAATCTTTGAACGTTTTGATTATTATAAGCCAGTGATACATACCTTTTATTGTTTAGACCAGTGTGAGTAGTGTGTTCTGTCATTTGCAAACAACAATGGCTTAACACAATGGGCAAATATTTATATTTTCAAAAAGGCAATTTCATATACAGTATGACCTTGACTTTTAAAGTATCCAGATAAATTATTATAGGGGGTCCTGGGTGGAGGTGGGCAAAGCAGCGTGAAATGGGGAATGGAGGATATCTGTAATAGTGTAAACAATAAAAAAATACTAGGAAAGACAAAATATAATCAGTTATTATTTCTGGGCAGTGGACTGGGCTAGGTTTGGGTACTGATCAGGAACCATAATATATATTTTAAAATTACGAACAAGAGACTGCCAAATTGATCGCTGTCTTTGAAATTCACTCCATGTACACTCCAACCCTCAGTGAATTCTGCCACCTGAGATGCCATTTTTTTCTACTATCCAACTCTCAGCCGTTTAGAATCAGTATACTCTTACTTCCTACCTATAAGCCCCAACAACTTCCTTCACTACATCTGATTCTATCTTACTACAAATCCTCTAAATCAGTGTTTAATCAGATGTATTTTTAAAAAGGATCTATTTCATATAATTGTTCTCTTTACTAATTGTTTCACAGGCACATAGAGCCTCACCAGCTCAACGCCAAGTTCCTAGTAGACAAAAACTGTCTCCCTGGCACACTCAAAAGCTTGCTGACTGACCTGGAAAAAAAAAAATCTTAGAAATGTACAGTTGACTTTTGAACTGCGCAGGTCCACTTATATGTGGATTTTTTTCAGTAAATACCTGTGCTGTTTTTTGATCCAAGGTCTGGAGTCTGCAGATGTTAAGGGCCAACTGCATGCATTGATCTATGCCATTTTATAGACTTGAGCATCAGAGGTTTTTGGTATCCACGGGGGATGGGGTGAGGGTCCTGGAACCAATCTCCCATGGATACCACAGGACAACTTGAGTTTTTAGGGAGTCAAGTTATACAAGCATTTTTTACTGTGGCGGGGGGTTCAGTACCCCTAACACCCGCGTTATTCAGGGTAAACTATATATTATGATGTTTTTCATTTTATATCAATTTACCACTACATATTCATAACCTAAGAGTTCAAAATAGGATATAGCAAAACTATTGAAGTAGCAGTGTAAAGTTCTAGTAAAATCGAAGATGTAAAATTTTAAGGCACAGACAACCATACGTTGGCTTTACTATGTCGAAAGGTTCTGATTAACCTTATGTTGAGAAAAACTCCAATTCATCCCTTTGCTTCTTTTAAGCTCAACTGGTTAGTCAATATAAGACTCCTGAGACAAATGCTGCAGGCTGGCATGAGCGAGGTCGGTTAAAGATTGACTGGCTGACTCTAGCCACCAGCCTATTAAAGAATGGCACCAGTCAAGATAGAGATGGTGTTTAAAAAACTGACTGACTAGACATATAGCACTACTAGAAAAACAACTCAAAATATACATACTCCTTGGCTTTAAGGACAGCATTACTTGATCAACACATGAACCATCATATTACTAATGAAGAGGCATTGGCCACTCAAAATTAATGAAAGCTTAAAGCTAAAGCTTAGGTCAACTCATGGAGCCAATGACTAAAGCCAGGTCCCTCTAGAGATACAAATTCATTATTTTTTTAATACGATATGGACTGTTAACACAGATCACTGATGCAACAATGTTCAAGCTCCAAGTTTATCACCAGTATGTACATCCCAAGGGCTTGCTTCTATGGGCAAATTTAAAAAGAAAAATTAGTGCCTTGTTGACTGAAACCCACTACCCAGGACCCAGAAGAACTGAAATGTCAGTCTATGAACAGATTTTCAGAAGCTAGTCAAAGCTGTCTGCCTTGCTTTCCTCAGCAGATTTTGCAGACTCTGACTAACAGTACTTGTACCACTTGCTCATTTTGACTTCAGTCTCTTGTTCGGTTTGGACCTGCTCCAGGTTGGCTACAGCTATGTTTGGCACCACAAAGCATGCCGCCCGTCTTAGCTGTGTTGCTAATAAGAGGTCAGAAAGCACCCCTGGAAATACAGGGACACAGGAAGAGTTCAAACAGTTGTTTTAAGCACAGTGTCCTAGCAAAGCTTGAAAAACAAGAAATTCTTTCCCCC